CAAGCAGTGTTGGGGCATGTGGACCCTGCAGGAGGGGGTGGTAGCCCCTGCAGGGGCCATTTGGTCCCTGTTGTGGGGGCTGTAACCCATGTGGGGAGGGTCTGTGGCCCCTGTGGGGGCAGGCTGTAACCCCTGTGGGGGGCAACAAAACATATAGGTGTTTAGAATTAACTTTATTATGATGACAGAAATACTGGTAGGCTTCCAAATTGCTTTAACACTGTAGATATAGCAATAAAACATTGCCCAACTGATCACTGTGTCTCTGTCTCTCTCTCTCTCTCTCTCTCTCTCTCTCTCCCTATATGTAAATATAGTGGTCTTTTGTTTTAATTGCGGAGGAACATAGATTTCATGGTATTTCACAGAGTGGCTTTGGGATTTTTTTATCAGGGATTTTTCAGTTTTCAATTAGGGAACACCAGAATTCCTGCTAGGGAGGCCTGTGGCAAGACCCTGCCTGCTCAGAGGTGGCACCTTGGACTCAGCTGGAGGTGACTGACCTCCTACCCAATTGCAACCGGGAGGATGCTTTGATAGTTCAAAGCAGGCCACCACACTGGGAACATCTTCCAGGCAATAGCTGCCCAGATGCCCAGGCAGGGGGCATACATGGCAGTAGTGCCACACAAAGGCCAGCTTTACAGCCACAGCCAGAGGCCCAGAGGAGCAGAAGCCTCATCCAGGCCTGGCAGGTGCGCAACCGGTCACAGCAAGGCAGCAGCCCCCAGTACCAGACTGCTGCATTGGGTAACGGGTGCAGGGAACTCTCAGGGCTGCTTCAGCAGTCCAGCTGGCACAAGGGATAGTGTTCCCAGGTACCAATTGGCTGGGCCCCAGAAGCTCCTGAGAGGAAGTAGCCCTGAGCTACTTGACAGGGCAGCTTTTTATACTGCTGGGGCCAGGACAGAGCAGATTTTTCTACTGCTGGGAACAGCACAGGAGCTGGCCCCAGGCTCTAGCTCCCAGGGGCTGCAGATCCAGGAAGAGCCAGGCAGGGTTATTTTGCCCCAAGTGGCATAATTCTATACCAAAGTGCATGTCCGAGCATGTGAACTGAGGCAAAAAGCCCTGGCTCAAATTTGCACTGCTTCTATTTGAGCTGCTGCAAGGGCACATGCCTGAATGTGTGGACATGCCCATTTTCTTCAAATTACACATTCAGTGACATCTCGAGATGCCACGCTAACTTCTCTCTTATTGCACAGGTGTAAATGACTGGAATTTAGTAAACAGTTATGATGTGCCGAGACTGACAATAATTCACCTTAATCTATTTTTTTTAATAATCCAACAGGTTTTTTTTCACTTCCACTTTTCAGCAAAAAGTGGGGCGATATATCTGCTACCTAGCATATGAACAACTCCTAGCATATGATTTAATTACATGTAAATGGCAAAACTTGCAGCGACTCAAACAGCATCAGCCTATTTAATTCCTCCTCTTAGCCAAATCTTGTGATTGTCAAATGTACTACATTTTGTTAAAAGAAAAGAGATACATTAGTCTAGATAACTGTGTCAGGATCCATGTTTATTTTGCTGATCCCACATACAAACATAAGATACAAAAATAAAATATTAGCATACTGCTGTGCACCAGCTGCATGACATATAGAAACAATAAAGAGGACAGCATCCAGCTGGCAAGATGTTCACAGGTGTGCAGACAAAGCAATGCTGGCAGGAAACTGTTAAAAGGCAAACAGCTTTAAAAATGAAACAAAATTCACCCAATGCAAAGGGCCGATACATAGCCTATGCATCACCACTTCTGTCCCATTTTGCTAATTTAAGTGAAGTATAGGCTTTCCTGGTCCTCTACACAAAGACAAATTTAACCACAAAGAGCACTTTAAAGCAATTAAAATAAGGTTCCTATTAAATACTCAATTGCTGTGCTAACAAAAGCTAATTAGTTTGCAGTTTAGGTAACAGATGTGTGCTCTGAGTAAAATTAACAAGGTGAGCTTTTCTGAAAGTAGTGCTGTCCAAAAAGTTAATTCAGGTCAATGTGCCATTTCATTGCTATTCAGTGGGACTCATGTTAATGTGAAATATTACTTTAACTTTGCCCTCGGCTAGACAATCACAACGTGTATACTTTCCTAATTGTTTACTGTTGAAATTATGCAATAAATATTCCAGTTTTGTGAAATGCCACAACAAAATTGCAAGTTGTTGGTTGTAGCTGTGTTGGTCTAAGGACAAAGGCAGACCAGGCTCTTTGGGTAGACGTGATATCTTTTATTAAACCAGCTCAAATAGTTGGGGAAAAGTTCTTTGCAAGCTTTGGGGCACAAACAACCCTACATCAGGCATAGGGAGACTGCAGCTGTTATGAGTTCCCCAAGGTAGAAAAGAACCTAAAGGGTGACAAGAAGTCTGTGAAAATGTAAATGAGTGGAAGTTTGCAAGACAATGGGTAGAGATGTGGGGAGAGGGGGAGGGAGACATGTAAAGGAATGTGGAGTGTGAACTTCACTTCATAAATCTACTGGATACAAAAATCATGGACTTAATACTGACATTGGATTTAGGACACATGATAACCTGCCTGACATCTAATTCACCAGGTAACCTGCCTGAAGCTGACCCCTTACATTTCTTCACATATCTCCCTCCCTTCCCCCATCCCTACGCATTGTCTTCCAAACTTCCACTCATTTACATTTTCACAGACTTCTTGGTACACTTTAGCTTCTTTTCTACCTTGGAGAACTCATAAGAGCTGCAGCGTCTCCCTGTGCCTGACATAGGGTATTTGTGCCCCAAAGTTTACAAAGAACATTTTTTCAAGTATTTTAGTTGGTCTAATAAAATCTACCCAGACAACAAAGATGTTGTTTTGATGCAGTTGATCAACATCCTCAACAGCCAGCTAGTTTGATCAGAACCCTTCCTTTTGTCCCACTTTCCAATCATTGATTTTTCATTTGTGAAAACTGTCAAAAGCTTTCCAACACAACTCATATGATTTACCTAAAGAGCAGCCCTGGAAGAGCACTGACATCTGGTGGCCATTTTAGTTTTTCTCAATCTCAACACCACATACTAGTTTGGTCAGCTAATGAGGATAGTTTGGAGTGCACAAAAGATCAGGGCTCAAAGGGGGGTGAAACCATGCAGCCTGATCAATAATTAGTGCTCATGCTAGCCCACTTACAAATTGGTAAGGTGGACTGCAGTGGACACTTGCACATTAACAGAAAATATTTCTATAGGAAGAGAACATTTCAAATTGAAAAAGAAGGGGGAGAAGACGAAATTCATCCTACATGGTCCATATTTATAAATAGCATATTTTTAATTTTACAATAATATGAACAGATTATACTTTAGTGTATTCCAAACCCCCCAGAAATATGAAATGTCATCAAAGCATCAAGTTACTGGGTTTATACAATCTTTATAACTTACATGGAATATGTCAGTTACAAATAAATGCAGATGCTATGCAATACACAAACAACAAAGCAAAAGTCAATTCAAGCTGCCAGCACATTAATAGTATTGTTGGATTAAAATTACTCTAGAGATGTTAGGTTTTGGTAAATACAGCACATTCAGTTTATCAAGTTCTCCAAAACAAATGGATCATGAAATGGAAATATATAAAACTGTCTTCTTACCATCAAGAAAAAAGGACTGTTTCCTACATAAGAATGTTTCTTATTAATGGAAAAGGACTGTGACATTTAGGCCTTCTTTAGTTTAAAAAAAAATTAATACTCCATTAAATTAAACCAGCAATATTTAACAATCAAATTATCCACTTTACCCTCTGCTAGACTGCCAGATTAAAATCCATATTTGTTCCATTCACTGGCCATAAGAGAGTATTTACATTATATTGAATTCAACCAGATTTTAATAGAACTGAGCTACAGACACAAAGATTAGATTTAAAATGTACTAAGTTGGTGGGCCCTAGTTAGTGATGGACAACCTTCAAAAAGTTCACTTGTGTTTTGGTGCAGTGACCTAATCTAAAACTTGTGACATTTGACCAAAAATGTGTAGCATGCTTCCTGGTCTTCACAAATGAACTGTAAGTGTTGCTAGAACAGCCTTTGATGAGAATTTTGATAGGACCTGATTCCATTCAGGCTGCAGAAATCCAGGATAGGTGCAAATCACAGTTAGGTGCATAAGTTTCACTGAAATGAAAAGGAGATAAACTCAACAATACATTTGACAACAGCCATTGACTAGTGATTAGTATCAAAGGACCTTTTCCTTTTTTACAGTATTTTTACAAATCCAAATTGTCATTGTCCAGTACTGTTACTCATTTTCACCAATTTCTAACCTTGTCATAAAGAAGCAGATCCTGCTGAAGGGGAGTAGAGACCTTTGAAAGGTCTTCCCCTGTACACAAATAGCTGACTTTCATACACACTTTGGCTTAAATCCATTTTACTTTATTCAGCTAAATAGCACATACACAACTACATAACTGCAGTTTTAAACACTTACATACAGTTTGCAACTCAGCACTGGGCAGGCAAGTGAGGATGTTCAGTAAAGATGCACTCTGTGCAGACAGGTATGTGGTGATGTACATGTAAAAGGCTGGGTAAGGTCTGAAATTGTAGCCAGGCAAAATCCCACAACTAGCAGGTGCTAAATGCTGGAAAAATGTGTCCTTCTGCCCCTCTCCCATGTTTTAACTCTTGCGATTAGGGCACTTGCCTGTGGTGAAAAAGCTCGCCTTTTTTCCAGAGGGGATTTGAGTCTGCATTTTCTGCTTCCCAGCACAGTGCTCTAAACAAGAGGCAGCAGATTAGATATCATCCGGTGACTTTTCCAGCCTTCCTCATGAAACCAATCACATGGACAGGCAAGAAAATAAGGCATGTGGGGCCAGGAAGAACAAGCTTGAACATGTGAGCTCAGTAGGATGAATGCTACTTTGTCTTGGAGGGGAGCCTGGATTTTAGGCTGAAGCCATGATCCCAAAAGGGCAGAAACTTCCCTACTGATCTTTATCCAGAGAATATTAAATGAACAAGTGCAATGGCTCAGCTTGAAGGGGATGACTGGAAAGAGGTCTGGCTACTACCTAACCTGTGGCCTGCTTGTTAGAGCACTTTGCTAGGAAACAGAAGATGCAGGTTTAAACCTTCTATGAGAGAAGGGAGCCTACAATCTGGGTCCTACCCCCTGGGCAATGCCCTAACCTCTAGGCTACTGGCTCACCCATAGGAAGGTCCTCCTCTTCTCTGCTTCCAGCAGGTACATCTATTTTGCAACAGGGTGAAACAAAACTGGATTCAAAACTGTATGTTAAGTGCCAAAAGTGTGTAAATAAATAAAGTGAAATAGGATTTAGCCCTTTAAATCCTTCTCAAATAAATTAAACTGTACCACAGTGTGAACCTACAGTGAAAAACTGATGTTATTTTATCTAAACTAGTCATAGTGGTCCCACAGAAATTCAATGGTCCTTGATCAGTATGCCACACAGTGGGAGTATAACCATATTGTAGCCAGGATCATCCAGAAATTATGTGATACAGAAGGATTTCTTAGGGAGGGTCCTGAAGAAGAATTTCTTACATTTGAAAGCTTGTCTAAGACTACCCCAGTTGGGCCAATAAAAGATATCACCCTAAAAAATCCTTGTCTCTACAGTAGGCAGTGAAATTCACTCCTTTGTAGAAGAAAGCATAAGGTACAGGTGCAATTTAGATCCCATTTGAACCCTGGTCCTGTGCACACTAATGAATTTCCCCACTCTGTGGAAACCTACCATGTTTCTGCATGAATATCTGTTAAATTAAAAGTACTAAAATTATATCAGTCATTTGGTAAAAGAGTAAGAAACAATAGTCATTCTAACAAAGCATTGGCACAGGATCTACAGCTCCTCCTTTGAAAAGAAAGTATTTCTTTTTCTCTCTTATCCCCTCAACATTTATTTTCCACAAACAGCTCAGCATTGCCAATACATTTCTTCAACAGCAGGAGACTATTATTCTGTGACAATGTTTTGGTCCATGGACATAATCTTTCTTATATGTTTGTTTTAGATATTTCCCTGGGGACAGAAGATATCCCAAGACTCTCACAAGTCTAAAAATAATTTTGTCGTGTTCTAATTGATAACATCATATTGGCAAATCTCTTTCGAAGACACATGAAAGCCAAATAACCCATCCCTGCTAGGAAGCCAACCAACAAGGTAGAGCCAAGAACTTTTGGTGCCCTTTTCTTGGCCACCCGGAATGCAGTTGGCAGAACTGCTGAGATTAATATGTTGTTGACATGTCCTAAAACCTTATTAAATGTTTTTCTCTTCAAGACACGCTCATAATAGGCTTCCAAGTTGGGACGTTTTCCATTTCCCCAGTTTCGTCTTGCTAATCCCAGGAACTTCAGACGATGTAATGTAACAGCAAGTGACACATCTGCCAAACTGAAAAATTCACCACAGAGCCAAGGTTGGTGTCCCTCTTCTAATCAAAAAGAAAGACATGAAGAATTAAGAGTTAATTAATATTAAAAGCATGTGGAAGTCTGTATGATCTAACATGTCTGTTTCTATGGCAAGTATATAACAGGTATTCATAAACAATGCAACATTTTAGATAAATACTTTAGTAACTAACATTTTTCCAACCTTATCCATACAAGGTTTCAAAGCCTTTCTCCCAGGAGATCAGGTTTTCTTTATTGATACAATAAAATACACACTTCAGTTTTGTCTTTAAGACTCATTGGGAACTCTTATTCGGGAGTCGTAGGGTTGTAATGGATGTAAATGTAACTCCCACCGGGCATTAATTCAGGCCTATCCAGCCTCTTCTTGATAACCTCCAATGTGGGGGAGGTTCTACAGCATGTCAGCTGCTAGTGATCACCCTTCCTTCTACAGGTATTTAAAAAATGACTGTTTTATAATTAGTTCTAGTAACTTCCCAGGTATTGAAGTTGGGTTAACTGGCTTATAATTCCATGGGTCCTCCTTTTTTCCTGTGTAAAGATGGATACTGTGTTAGCCCTATTCTCATCTTCTGGAACCTTATGACATCTTCTGTGTGTTGCTCTATTGAGAGAAATTCAAGCAAGAACTGCTAATAAGGTGAATATTTTCTAAACAAAAGGGACTTAACCTGACAACTGAGCCAACAGAACAGCACTGAATCAACCCATAGCCCAACCAAAACTGTTAAGGTGGCATGTTAATTCTTCACTGAATGTCAGGCTGGCTTCATACCTTCTCATTGTGTCTCCTAAACAGCAGAATTACTTATATTCTGCTTAGGTCTCAAGCAGAATGTGGGAGGATTCAGCTTTCTAGTATTTTTAAAAGCACTATAGGTTTGTGGTAGGAGCCTGGGACAAGAGACTTGTAAATGGATTCAATCCTTTACAGCTGAAGAGAACTATAAGTTAATACATGGTAATCCTGTACATGAGAAGGACAAAAAAATACACCCTCCATGTGTGAAAGGGAGACCATTGTGAGGAAGGAGGCTAGTGAGTGGGAGGTGAACAGTAAAAATGAAGAAAGAGAAGCTCAGAGAGAGATTGGGAGGTGATTGCAAACTCAAGAACTTTAGAAGCCTCCCTTCCACAGGCAGACACTTGACCTAGAGCCAAATTTCATCTGCCTGCTATCTTGTCAGATATCATAAGCTGATCAGTGAGTGTCATGTCACATCACTGCTTGGAAAGGAGATCTGCAGGAGAAAACCAAACACTGCAGGAGGTAGAACTGGTACTCCTCATTTGTTCACTGATATTCTGTTGTCTGATGTGGAGTGAATTGATGGGGTAATACCACTGGAATTATGCCAGTAGAGGTTTTGGACCAAAAAATATTTCCTACTGTATACTGCACTGGTTTAAACCAGCTTACATTGATAGTGACTGGCAGTTGTTACCATCTGCACCTATCTAGTAATCCAGGTGAACAGAATCAGTGATCCAAATTTCATTTTAGTGAGCAAGGCTTCTCTTACGAAACACAGTTGGACACTAACAGGCATCTGTACTGGTAGTGTCAACAGAAAACTGAAGGACAGAGGGTCCAATCCAGCACCCAGTGAAGTTAGAGAAAAGGCTCCCAGTAACTTGAAAGGGAACTGGATCAAACTCTAATGGCAGAATCCTATTTCACTGTATGCATCCAAATGGCAGGTACCCCGTCATGTAATTGCCATTTTTGACACTTAGGCACAGTTTACAAGCTTACTCCACATGCTGGCACATTCACAGGAGGGTGTGCTCTGGCCAGGCAGGTATACTCCTCTATACACATGTACTTCAGTGTAAATCCCCACAATTCTGGCCCAACACAAAAAAAATACTTGAGTAGTTATAGCACTTACCCAGGAAACTGGCAACCCAGGTGCTGGGACCCCTTCACCCAGATGGGGTTCAAACCTGCATCTCCCTAATTTCCCGCCACTGTGATCAAACCCCTACACCCCTTGCTCTAGTTTCCTTCTGAAGGTGAGTCACTGGACCTTGCACTTCATATTTACTGGTTACACTGGATGGAGAGTACTGGGGAAGATTCTGTCCCACAGAAAACAAGGATCTAGTCTAGAATCCACAGCCTGTTTCCTTCCTACACACAATCCATACTACAGAGCCTTTTACCCTATAGCTTGTTCTCTTCTTCCTGAGCCCCTAAAACTTCCTTCTTGGCAGGCCAGAGGACCAGCTTCAAAAGGAAGGCTAGAGAAGGGACTACCTAATTACAAACCTGTAGCCTGATAGTTAAGAGCCTAGTCCTGCAAAATCAAAGAAAGAAAGGTCCAAACTTCCTTGTGGGGGAGCAGGGAGAAGCCTACAACATGGATCTTCTGCTGCCTGGGTAACTACCCTAACCATTCATCTATTGTGCCCTCCCCTTTTCAGCATCTAACACTTGCTAGTCATGGGTTTTTATCAGGTAGAATTTCATGATTTATGCTCACACAGCATGCACACATATGCACACAACATACATCCACTGCACATAACCATCATAAGCTACTGAGCATGTGTCTATACTTTAGGTCAGGTAGGATCACAAACTCTGTGCAAGTGCCAAAAATGCACTTCCTCAGCTGGGAAAGTCCCATTTCAGTAAAGTAAAATGTTACAGGATTCTTCCTTCAGTGAGCATGGAGAGCTAACTTTAAAGACAATTAGCAAGGATTAGGATACTGACAAGACAGCAAAAGGAAATGTGCAGTACCGCTGCCTGCGGCCTTTCTTTGGTTAATAAAATACCTCTGCCTCCAGGACTGTCAATCCAGCACTGGAATCCAAATTTAGCATGTTATTTACCCATGTGTGTAAGGACATGATGACCAGCAATGTGTTTAAAATTAGGTTCATACCTGCTATGCTGAACTGAAGCCTAAAAAAAAAATAGTGTAGAATTGTGCAGTTAATTCTGTCGACATCCTGCTGAAAATATCTGTCAGGCTCCATGAGCCATTCAACAGATTGCATTTGACTAAATTAGACTGAGTTATGCTGTTATAAAATAGCAAATCAAATAATAAAAAGTCTGCATAGAACAAGTGATGATATCTGGCTAAATCAACTGTGCTGCACATCTGTCACTAGAATTAATCAGAAATAGTCCTTTTTACCTGGTGTTTCTTCATTTCTCCGTTGTAACTCAGTCTCAACCTGATCCAAAACTTTCTCCAATTCATCAAGTATTTTTTTTAGGTATTTTATATTATCATGGTCCAGCAGTTTAGACTAAAATATAAATAGGTTGCAGTTTTAACCATTATACATGTAGTATATAGTTACAGCATTTTCAGAAGATTTACTTAGCATTACAGTCCATATTTAATAAAAAGTTATTATCAGGTTTAAAAGCCAGGGGGATGCCTATGGTGACATGAATTTTAGTGACAACTCACATAAGAGAAAAAATATCTAATTTTTACAAATATTTTGTAAATTCTCGATAATGAAAATTCCTGGGCACACTGACCCTAATCAAACACAGAAATTAAGTTTATGCTCAGCTTTGAAGTAATCACAAATGTTTAAAGATAAGTAGTGGAAGAGTGATGTTGGTCGTCATGACAGTCCATAAATTATGTGAAAGGCAAGGATTTCTTAAGGTGATATCTTTTATTGGACCAACTATGTAGCTGGGATAGAGTTAGACAAACTTTTGAATGCAAGACATTCTTTGGCAGGTCACTGATGATAATAGGGCTGTGCAAAACACCATCGTTTCATTTCAACATCTGTTTTGCTGCTTTGAAGGGACAGCATTTTGTTTCATCATTTTGTTTCATTTCGAAGCACTGTCCCATTTCGTTTCGTCAAAACTGTTTCACTGTTTCGATGCATTTTGACATTTTGCCCATAGGCTATAATGGGGAATCATGAAAGTGCCTAAAGCGTTGTCATTTCTTGCCTGATTTGGATGAAAATTGCAGGGATAGTAGCCCCTTCTGAGGGCATGAAGCCTGCCACGTTTCAAGGAGATAGGTGCAGAGGTTTCTGGAAAACTGCACCTCAAACTGTTCAAAACACAACTCCTGACTCTTGCCACCTGCTGCAGCCTCCTTTCATCCGGCACACAGATCCAGGGGCCCGCAACCCCAGGAGAGCTGCAGAGCTGTTCTGGACTCCTCCCAGGGGTGCAGGCCCCCAGATCTATGTGCCAGATTAGAGGAGGCTGCTGCTGCTGCCTGAATGACACCGGCAGCGCTCCCAGTGGGGTGCTCCGGATGAGAGGAGGCTGCCACCTGAGACTGGTGCTGGATGCAGGCTGCACCCAGGAGTGGAGAAGATTGCTGCTGCTGACTGAGACAGGTGGCAGCAGCAGCCTCCTCTCATCTGATGCACAGATCTGGGGGCTCGCACCCCCAGGAGGAGTCCGGCACAGCTCCGCAGCCTTCCCAGGGGTGCAAGCCCCCAGATCTGTGCCACAGATGAGACGAAGCTGCCTCTGCCATCTGGGACCAGTGCTGGGTGGGGGCTGTGCCCAGGTGGCAGTGGCAGCCTCTTCTTATCCAGCATGCACATCTGGGAGCTCACACCCCCAATAGGAGTCTGGCACAGCCCCGCAGCCCTCCTGGGGGTGCAGGCCCCCAGATCTGCGTGTCAGATGAGAGGAGGCTGCCACTGCCACCTGGGACCAGCGCTGAAGCCAAGTAAGCCTGGCTTCAAAAGTCAAAATGTTTCAAAATTTCCTAAATGTTTTGAGTGCCCCATTTCATTTCAAAGCTGTTTTGAAGCCTTTTGTTTATTATAGATTTTGCTGTTTTGAGCTCAAAATGCGTCAAAACAGCTTCAAATGAAACACCCCACAATGTTTCGCACAGCCCTAATAGATATATACATAAGAGCTTTGTTATACTTTGGCAGAGTTCTCAACATCTTGCAAAAGTAAGCCCCTGATGAAGTATACTGAAAACAACTGGTAAAAACAATCACCAACATTTCAGGAAAATTCCAATATAACCAACATAGGACAACATGAGTTTTCTTACTTTAAGGCGTTTCTGCTTTGCTATATAAGCATCTTGGAGGTCTGGATTTTCTTCTGCAAGCTTCTTCAGTTCAGATTCTGTGTTACTTATTTGGCCTGATAAACAGAAAATGGAATTACATAAAATCACCAAATATATAATGTTTTAATCCATAAAAATTAGCAAATAAATTGTGTTAAAATAGTTAAAGTATTGTAACTGGTCTGAAGAAATGGAAAATGGATCCTGTGTGAAGCATCCATATCAGTCAGTGAAGTGTTGCATAAGCCAGGGATTCCAAAACATTTTCTATTCGCCATGAATCATACGCCGAAGGGAGGAAGAATATAGGATAGGGAATTTATACATTTGATCTTAAGTTCAAACAAAATGTCTTGTTATCTATAATAAAAGAATGAAGGACAATTAAAGTAACAGGACATATTAACAGTTCTACTTCTATCACAAACATTCATACTTCACTCCTGAAAATATTTTCAGCCAAGTTGTGAATAGTATACTGTAATTTTGTGTGCTTCATTTTTGGATCCTCAATTTTGGATGCTTTGGCCATGATTTCCAGAGAAGCTGTGGATACAGAGTTCCCACTGAGTTTGAGCAATTCTGAAAATCAGTGTACAAAAGACAATATTTTTAGTTGTCTTTGTCGGGTCTCCAATATTGCTATATGGTCTGTTCCCATTATTCTGCACAGGCCACTGTATCTGGTGTTGGTGCTGCCAGATCTTACGGGGTGCATTGTGATGCTATAGGACATCTCAGGAGATGATCCATGGTTTGCTTCTCATGACAAATGAATCAATCAGTTGCATAGAGGCCCCACAATTTCATGAGAAAGTTGCATCTTCCAAGACCCATTCTCAATCTGTTCAGGCTCTTCCATGTATGTCATTTGTAGTTGGAGCTGCATGCTAAATCCTTACTGGGGGTAATTCCTCACCAGCTCCATTCAACATGTTTGTTGCCTAGTTTCTCCCATTCTTTTTGCCAGAGGGTAGTTCTGAATGATTCTGGGGATGTGGTCAATGGTGTGATAGAAGACAAAAAGCTGTTCCTCTATGAGAGATGACAGTGCACTGGCTGATGTCCATATAGTGGGTGGTGGTCATCTGAGTCTTGTACCTGCTGGTCAATGTCACCTGCTACTTTTCTCCTCTGCAAGGAGACACTATGCTGCATAGTGCATATAGGCAGTGAACAGGGGTGGGTTTTAGGCAGCCTGTTATAGTTCTGCATGTATCATTTATGGTGGTGCCAATACGTTTACATATTTTTAGAAGTATTTAGATGCCTAAAAATACAGCAAGGGGTCCAGTTGTTGGGTTTTTTAAAATCTAACCAGGTTAGGCACCTAACTCCATGGCAGACTATTTACATCTTTAGGGCTTGAAACACCTTTTAAAACCTGACCCAAGATGCCCCAAGATACAAAGTTTGGAAGAAGAGGTGGAGTGAAAAACTTGGAAAAAGATTACTATTTATCTTTTGTTATGTAGGAAATAACATCTTCACTCTTTAAGGATGTAGTTCACATGAAACTGGCCAGAGACTTCCCAATTTACAAATCCAGAATGTCAAACATTAAGCCATGACTAAGAAAGTCTTGAATAAAAACTAATATCTTCAATAATGAACTGAACACAGAGCTTGAGTCCTCTTTCCCTTGAACTGGGGAAATTGGGACTAACTTAGATGAAGTCTGCAGAGTTAACCTGAAGTAACAGTGTTATTAAACAATGCTGACCAATTATTTTATATGCTTTTTGTTTCAATGTCACGTGGCCATGAATATGGAAAGTGACAATATTCCACATGAATATTTTGAAGGAATTGAATATAGAGCTAAAAGATAATAGGCATCAAGGATCCTGACTTCATTGCATTTGCAGATAAAATGCTAATCAGTAGGCACATCTACATGTGCCCCTGGCTGCACATTTGGTACTGCGCAGTCATTTAGAACTTGGTTTAGCAAGTACTAAATGACTACACAGTACCCAGCAGTACTGCACAGTCCCCAGCAGCGCACGATTATTTTTAAACACTATGTCACCAGTGGTCACCATGGTGATGTAGCATTGGCATCACAGTTTGTGCATGCTGATGCTATAACACTGTAGCAACAAGCTACATCACCATAGCTTGTCACTACAGCAATGTCATTTCTCATGCAGACGCGCCCAGTAATATATAAGTGTGATGCTTTAAAAGAGACAATACAAAAATACTCAAAACAATTATGAGCCAAATCATCTGGAAGAAAAAACTGAAACAAAATATGTGATGATAATTAGGAGTTTCTTAGGAACTTTTTATTAGATTCCCAATCACACAATTGAGAAAGAAGTTTATGCTGATTAAAAATTCGGCCTGGCAGGAAATGAAGACAACAACTCCCTAAAGTTATGTAATATTATTCAAATATATATACATGCATACATAAATACACACACGTGGGTGGAGGGTGGGGGGGAGTATATATTTTACAGGTGCAAGGATTTCTGTGATATCTGTGACAAAGGCACTTTCCAGGCCCGCTACTATTATGGCCCTGTCATTGTCTCTAGGCAAACCACCCAACTTGTTCTTCTGCCACACCTTGTTGATAAATTATTGTGATGTTAAATAGGCGAAAGGCTGCCTTTCATGCGCCCAAATGACTCTGGGCTATCAGTACACGCTCCTACCATCCCTATATGTGTCCCATGTCTTGCTGATGTCTCACAGTGTGTTCCACCTCTGGTTCAAAGCTAGGTCAAACTGTATACACCCTGTTTTCTATATCCCACCTTCCATGACCTTAATACAAAGGCTATCAGGAGGTGGTACCTGACTGTATGGGGTTTGCCATGATGTGGCAGTGTCTGGGCATTTTCTGTGATGCTCCACCTCCCTTACACCCTACCCCTGTCCATGCGGGTGTTCTGGTGATTGAGATAGATGCCTGGCCCTTCCAGGTGTCTGTCTGTCTTCAAAAGATCCCATGTGAGAAGACAAAAACAAAGCAATCTGGAACCAACATGAGCTGGCCAAGCCCTGTGACTCTGGTAAGGCTCTCCCATCCATCCTACATAGAAATTAATAAAGCAATATAACGTAAATAATCATCTCTGCCTACTAGGGCTGTGTGAAGCTTCATTCACTGATTCAATTGGGTGGAGATTTGGCCCAATTCGGCAGCCAAATCTCCAAATCCAAATCGAATCAGGAGCCACTTTAATCTCTCTGAATCAAATCGGAGCCCTCAGAATCGATTTGGAGAGATTCAGAGAGATTTGATAATTCAGACATAGACACAGCTTTAAATGTTTTTTCTACATACCTCAGGGTACCAGGCGGCTCGTGAATGCTGAGATGTGGGGTACATGGAGCATGTGGGGGGAGGGGGGCCCAGCATGCTCAGCAGCAGACCCGGAAGTGGACCAGAAACACTTCCGGTCCACTTCATGGTCCACCAGGGAGTACATGGGGGACGCCCACCCCACCACTCAGCTTGGTGACTGGTGCTTCCTGGGCCGGGGGGGCACCTAAGGGCCCCCCCCACAGGCAATTGCCAAGCCAGGGGGACACGGCAGGGCCCCATGAGCTTGGTGGCAGACCCGGGAGTGCACTGGAAGTACTTCTGGTCCACTTCCGGGTTCACCACCAAGCATGCAGGCTCCCCCCCACCCGACCCCACACTCCTGTGGAATGCTCCATCCACCGCACCATCACAGCATTCACAAGCCGTGTCTGGTACCTCAAGGTATGTAGAAAAAACATTTAAAGCTGTGTCTATGGCCGAATTGCTGATTCTCCGAATCAGCATCGAATCTTTAGATTTGGATTCAGCTCATCAAATCAGGACAGTGATCCAAATCAACAAATTGAATCACAGTCCCTGATTTGGGAAAATCTGAATCTGAATCAAATATGGCCTGTTTCACACACCCCTTCTGCCTCCTTACGGGCCTAGCTTCAGCCCTGTGGTGTGTGTCTGCCTTCTCGTCAGACAGCAGAGATTCTTCAGAGTTCGCCCCCAGTCAGAAGCCTAAATCACAGGGTAGGCCTGTAGCAGGCCAACCTCTGTGGGTAATTTGGGGTCACAGCTATTAGGAACTCTTATGAGGCTCCTGCAGGTACCTGGCCTCCAGTGTCTTCAGGGTGATCAGGTTCCTGCCATGGGAGCCAGGGTTGAGCTGGTCTCCAACAAGATGTCCTCAGCTCCAGCAGAGGAAAACAATATGGCCTAGTGCCTACACCAGCTCCTCCCCTTCTCTGGGGCTGGGGCTGGTGCTGCCCTATAAGGAAAGTTCCAGGTTGGCCTGAGCTAACCCAGAGCCCTTCATGTCTCTACATGCGTTGTGGCTGCTGGCAAGTTCTGAGAGACCCTGCAGAAATCAATACTGGCTGCAGCTTCAGCATCCCAGCTCTAAGTGGTGATGGGTACACCAATTGCTTAGTCTTGGTCCCCTCTGGGCTCCAGATCCCAGCAGAGCCCAGCTCCCTGTGTTCAGTCCTACCCGGAGGATGGGGACATAGGAAGTGCATCTCCTGCCACTTCCCTGCCCTACCCTGGGGGCAAGCATGCAGGGGGGCATGAAGCCTGTCCATGGGCTCATTACGCACTGCTAGGACAGCCTGGGATCGTGGGAACCATAGGATGCCATGGCAGTCATTGCCCTGGTGAATGCATGGGAGGGCCAGGTCCCTGCTGCAGGTACTTTGTGTCCAAAAGCCTCTAAAAATTCTCTCCCATCTATATGGTTAGTCCAACACAAGTTATTGCAAAAAAAATCCCTAACTCTTGTACATTCCTGGACCATTACAGCTACAACATGCCAACACTATCTCTTTCTCTTTCTCTCTCTCTATACACACACACACACACACACACACACACACACACACACACACGCACATATACAGATATAGCTAAATATATATATATATATAATCATAATAATAGTATATAAATAAATTAAAAATAAGAAAGGTAGAAACTGATAACAATAAATTCTAATATTATAAAAGTCGTAGTCTGTCTGTCTGTCTGTAACGCTATATTTGCACTCTGATTGACTGTCATGGCAGTCAGACAGAGTGCTCCAACAGCGTTCCAGACAGCAGGTGGTGGAGTGCCACCATGATGGCATGGGCAAAGGGGATGGAGGGGGTCCCCCCCCCGCTCCATGGAGGAAGTGGCAGTGGTGTGAGGGGGTGAGGGAATGGGGTCAGAACCGCCACGGCAGCTGGGGAGTGGCCCTGGACCCAAACCACCGGGGGGAAGAGGGTCGCACCCAAATTGGGGGGGGCAGAGCTGGATGATGGGAACAGGGATGCAGGGCCAGATGCTGGGCTCCATTCCTGCCAGCCCCCTGGGTTGGGTAGGTGGAGCAGCCCTGGCACCGGCCCCAAAGCAGCTGGCCACAACCCCCCAGTTCCCTCCAGGCAGTGGCGACAGGGCAAACAGAGGGGTGCAGGGGCGATGCCAGGGCAGATGGAGGGGTTGGGGTGGTGCCAGTAGAACCCAGCAAGGCCAGTGCTACTGGCTATGCCCCCCTGCAGGGGGCAGTGACAGAACAGGGGGGCCAGGCAAGGTGACGAAGCAGGGGGAGGCGGGGCCACCGGATAGAGTGGGGTCCCGCCTGTCTCCAGCCCCAAAGTAGGGGAAAGAGGGGAAGCAGGCCTGGCCCCAAAGGTGGGGGGAGCTGGGGCCAGACACAGGCCTCTGTCCCTGGCCACTCTTCCTTCTCCCCCACCCCACCAGGCCATCATTCTTGAGAGGCAATTGGCTAGTATATATATAGAAGCTTTACACTGTAGGATAGTGGTTTTCAAACTGTATTTTGTAGTTCTGTGATAGGTCATCCGAGTTTCCACAAAGAGACTGAGAGTAATGGCAGGGTGGGCTTGGAGGTGTTGTGCTGCCATTCCTAGGCCAGATCACGTGGCTCCACATCAGCTCACATGGCCCACAGAGTCAGGGGTAGAGGTTCCATAGCAGAAGTGATTTGAAGGGGTTCTGTGACTTTAGGAAGTTTGAAAACCACTGTTGTAGGGCATCAATAAAACAACCAAGAGGACACAAGACAGTATACAGCTGACAGAGTCAAAGACAAAAAACAGAAGGTTTTTAAGTAGTTATAAACAAAGGAAACCCTAATAATGGCACTGAATGGCACTGAATCACTACTGAGTAAACATGGTAAAACTATCGATAATAATGCAAAAAATGTGGGAGTCTTAGTAAATGTATTACTGTTTTGTATCTGAGAAAAAGCCAGATGATGTGTTTCCATTTAATGACAATGCTGACAGCAGTGAGTTTCTATTCTAAGAATAACTAAGTGGAAGGTTAAACAACTGCTATTAATGTTGGACCTTTTTAAATTATGAAGTCTAGGTAACCTCTATCCAAATTTTTTAAGATGTTGGGCAGGTTAATTTTTAGTGTGTCTTAGGATACTGAAGAAATTCCAGAGAAGTGGAAGAAAGGTAATGTTGTACCAATGTTTTAAAATAAATGGGGTGATTCAAGTTATAGGCTCATCAGCCTGGTTTCAATCCTGGGCCAAATAATTGAAAAGCTCCTAAGTCAATTAATAAAGAAGTCAAATAAGATTAAAAGAGCATTTAAATAATTAAAAGAATTGCCAGTCAAGATAGGTTGATGGAAAATAGTGATCAAACTTTCTATTATTTGTTGATAACATTACAAGCTTGGTTTGTCAATGTTATAGTGCAGATAGAATATACTTTGACTTTGCACCATGTGATAGGTTAAGAAATTATAAAAATAAAGGATCAACACAATGTTCAGCAAATGGATAAAAAATGAGCTAAGAGACCTCAAAATGTAACTGTAAATAGGGAATCATCACTGAGCAAATGTGTTTCCTTTGGAGTCCTTCCAGGAGTGATTCTTGGCCTTATACTATTTTAATATTTTTATGAAGGAACTGGAACAAAACATACAACCATTACTAATAAACCTTTAATGTGACAGTAAATAGAAGAGTAAAAAATAATGAAAGCGATTAGTCAGTAATATAGAGCAATCTGGATCATTTGATAAATTGGGGTTATGCAAACAATATGAATTCAATAAAGACAAATGTAAAGTCATATATCTAGAAACAAAGAATATAGGCCATACTTCCAGAGTCAGAAACTGTACCTGGGAAGCAGGTTAACATTGAGAAAGACTTGGGAATCATCACTGATAAGCATTAACTCTGATACTGTGGCCAAAAGGCCTAATACAGTCTTAGATATATAAGCAGAAGATATATAAACAATTATCTCTGTATTTGGCACTGTATTATAAACCACTACAGCTATACTGTATTCATTTTTGTGTCCGTGGTTCAAGAATGAAGTGGAAAAATTATAGAGGGTTCAGAGGTGAGCTATGAGAATGATTACAAGGTTGGAAAACAAACCTTATATGGAGACACTTCTGGAAGTGAGTCTATCTCATTTAAGAAAAAATAATAAGGGTGATTTGTCTACAGGTGGTAAGTATGTAAACAGGGAACAGAAATTTGGTAATAGAAGGCCTCTTTGTTCTAGCATGCAGAATAAAGTAGAGCAAGGTCCAACAGAAATCAAAGTCCAATGGAACTTGAAACTCTGAAAGGTTCTCAGTGGCATAACAAGCATGTGGTTCCAAGAACAAGTGGGCAGGGGGCACGGGGTTTGGAGAGACACAGGGTGCATGGGATCTGAGGGAGGGGCTGTGGGGCATGTGGGTTCTGACAGTGGAGCCGGGGAGAGGCAGCAGTGTTACCCATGCCACGAACTCCTAAACCCGTGTCTACTCATGGCTGAACTGCTGCTGCTGCCCCTGCATACTCTGCCCCATCCCAGATGTTAATCTTAAAGCAGCAGCAGTAGCAGCAGCTGGGAAATATTGAAGTTCCCAGCATGGGTATGCAACTGAGGCATGAACTCTGTGGTAATAGAAGGCAATTCCAGTACCCCTCCTAATTTGGTGCCCAGGGCAGGTGACCCTCTTGTCCACCCTTAGTTACTCTACTGAGGCTGCTCATGCTTCTGCTGAAGTCAAATGACATCACGACTGTATGTGATGGTCATATTCAATCCAGGTATATGACAAAAGACATCTTCATTCTAAAACAGTGACTTACTCCTGGTTCACCTCCATCCCCAAAATAGCTATTTCTTCAATGGATCGTTTTATAATGACTGTACATTTACTAGCTCTGAGAAAATGGAACTGAAGTTTCCTAAAATCCTAAATTTGGAGCTACTGAATACAATTTTCAATACTGCCTAAGTGGCTTAGGAATTATGTTCCATTTCCAAAAATGCCCAAGTCATTCAAAATTTTCAGCCATCAAAAGAAACAACAGATATGGCTACATAAGTAAGTCTCTGTGAAGTATGCTACAGTGTCAGTTTACAGCATGTAATCCACTCCATGCTAACTGCCTCTGTGCATGCTCTTACCCTGGAGTAAATGCAAGATCATTTCCTCCACTTTCGCTGCTGCAGAGGGAAGGAACAGATACCCTGCAGCTCAGGGGTGACCCTGCCCAGCAGCAACCCACCCACCAGCTGTGAGGCAGGCAGGGAGGCTCCTCTGAAAGCAAAATTGGGCCCCTCACCAGTTCTGCCTTTGTGGGGGGAGTTTGGCAGTGGGGGAGCCCTGCCTGACACCCCTACCCTCCCCGCACTGCAAACCAGCCCCTTCCCAGGCAGTACCAGGAGTCCTGCCAGCTGCAGGTCCCCGCTGAAGACCGAAGCTGCAGGGTGCCTGATCCTGTTTTCAGTAGAGCTTCCCTGCCTGTCCTGCACCCAGGGGGTGAGCTGTCACTGGGCTGGGAAGCCCCTGAGCAATGGGAGGTCCCAGTCCTTCCCTCTGCAGTGGCAGCACCCTCTGGGATGGGATGGATGGGCTGCTGTGGCAGGGCACTGTTGGTGCTGGCCACTTTAAGGACCGAGCCAGGCAGCCGGCAGGTGCTTAATTGCAACAGCCATTTTAGATCCATGGCTGCCTATATAAACAGGGCAGTTCGCTACTGGCAGGCCAGGCAGAATACAACATTCTGGAGGTAAGGGAAGGAGCTACAGAGGATGGTTTGGAGGCTCCTGTTCCAGGGCATGACCTAAAACTGCACCCTGCCAGGAGTGGGTGGCCTGGTGGGGCTCTCAGTGGCTCAGGAACCCCCAGGAAATGCCAGGCCAGTTACCACCCCAGTGAAAAGAGAGTAGGGGTGCCTTAACCCCAGGCCTCACCTTTGGGTGGGCCATATTCCACCAGAGCAGGGTAGGCCAGGTAAGCTTCTGGAGGTGCCTGAGCCTGCTGGGGGAGCGACCCCTCAGGTCCAGCCATGCTTCCAGGAGCACCTGAGCAGGGAATAGGGGACCCTGATCCCTAAGTGCAGGCAGGAGGTGAAAACCCATCCTGAGGCACTCGACTGCTCAATGCTGGGGCCAGGACTGGAAGGGTCAAAAGGGCCAGGGGCCCACTGTGAGGAATGCCCATGATGAGTGAAGAAACTAAGGGCCCCGACTGGCCTGAGATGGGGCCAGGGCTTACTGAAGCTGAAGGTCCCATGAGTGGGGCCACAGCTGATGGGTCAAGGGGACAGTTGAGCCAACTGCTTGAGATGCCATCTGCGAGGCTTGGGCCACGGTGCAGGGATGGAACGGAGCCACGGATAACCCGCTTCCCAGTATCAGGGTGTACAATGGGTGGCCTCCTGCCTTAATTAACAACTATTAATTAATTAACAACAAGGCATGGCAGGCAAGACAGGTGGGCGGTGTGCCCGGAGGCAGGTAGGAAGCTAGCTATGTGCCTAGCCAGGGACCCCCCAACTTTGCCACAGCTGCCAGCAGGCCCTGTGCTACCCAAATAGCCAGGGAAGCTTGGGCCCTGACTACTCTCAGGGGCCCAATCCAACTTCCCAGGAGCCTGCCAGCATGCCACCTCTCCCACAAGCCCACCCAGGCTTCCAGGCACCGAGGTGGGTTTGATGATTTATACAGTGGACATACACAAATCCTAACTTTTTTTACGGAAATATGGAGTTGGCTTATACAGTTGTTTGGGTTTTTTTACCTATGCACCATACAATACAGTAATTAAGTGTTCACATCTTCAAAAATCCTGATCACCCAGCTGCTTCCAGCTATACAAATGCACAGCTGTAGGCATCCATCTGTTAAAAATCTTTTCCAACAACAACATAATGTGTATCTGAGTAGTTATGGGATCATTTTTTTTAACATTATATTGTTATTCAGATATCAAGGACCTTTAAAAAAACAGCATATGCTTAGAATCATGTAAGCAAAATCTGTTAAATGGCAGTAATTTCATATTACATTTAATACGTACTACGAATTCTGGTTGTTGCATAAGCTGGAATCAGGGAATCCACAGTTAATTCTGGGTGCAAAATACAGCCATGTGTGTAGGCATCCATTGGCAAGGAGTCCAGAAGCTCCCTATAGTGCTGCACTCTTGGATAATACATGCTTCCATCTTCTGGCATTAGTCTTGGTGTTTTCTCTGAAATACATTTAAGAAAGTAAAAACAAAATGAAATGCAATATGGTAAAGTAGTATTATGACTATTTCCAACTAGCACAGATGACATGATCATCGTGAAAAAGCCTTATTATTGTATGGCGTTAGCCCTAGAGCCCCAGTCAGTAAAACATTTGAGCATATACTTGATCTCAAGCACTTGAGTGTTCCTATCCCTATCCAGCTAAATACACACATGGATTCAAGAGGCCTAAGCATACCAAAGAATCTGGTCTGTTGTGTATTATTTTCAAATATTTTCATGAACATCCATTTTTTACATCCATTTTTTACACCCATTTTTGTTACAGCCTGTGAATGTATAATAAACATCCCTATAGCCCATTAGAAAGGGACATCTCAAACATTCAGAAAGATTATTATAAAATGTTAAAGGAGCATGCCTTCTTGCATGCTTCCCCCCAGGGCCTGGAAGCAGCGGGAGATGCACTTCCCACATGCCCATCCCCCAGGCAGTGCTGAAAGCAGAAAGCTGGGCTCTACTGGGACCAAAGCCCAGAGGGGACCAAGACTAAGCAACTGGTATACCCAGCACCACTTAGAGCTGGAACACTGAAGGCATTTGATATAAAAATACTTTTATGTTTTAAAACATACTTGGAAAAGTTCATTTATTTCAGTATGCCACTGCGTACTTTCAGTTTACCAACACCCCTTAGTCCTCTGGGAAGTTGTTTTCTGAACAAAAGGTTAGCAAGGAGATCACCATCAATCTTTGTGTGTGAGAAACTCTGACAGGGAGTTCAACATGACCTTTTAGTTTGCTTTTGGAACTGTAAACATCCTGTGGATATGAACAGAGCTCTACAAGAGATACATAATTATTGTATATTATTAGCAAGGGAAATATCTCATAAACTCAAATATTTTTAGCATTACCATTCATAAAAGTGCTTTCAAGATAATCAATAATTTGTGTTGCCTCGCAAATAATATTTTCTCCATGGATAAGAACAGGGACTTCACCGGATGAATTAAGACGCATAAACCATGGTTCATTGTGCTCACTCAGCGGTAGATTAACATCATGTTCCTCACATTTTAGTGCTTTTTCAGCAATTACCAAGCGCACCTGAAAAATATTGCAAGAATTACTTGATGCAGGCATTTACCATGAATAAACTAATAGAGACTGTTTAATTATAGAGTCAGTATGGTTCAGGAGGAATCAAGAGGCCTAACCAATGATCTCTTGTCTCTAGACAAAATCACTTCACCTCTGTCTTTCTTTTCTCCTACTCTTAGGCTATGTAGATTGCATATGCTGTAGCTGGGGACTGTGCTGTTATGCTTCTAGAGCACTTAGCAGAATCTCCACTGGGGCCTTGAGGCACTACACTGACACAGTTCCTGACAGTGGTAACCGTCAACAGTTATTGCCTAACACACTCCTTTCAACACCTTAATCTTCAGCATGAATACTTAGTGGCTGGTTCACGGATCGTTGTTCTGGAAAAGCGTGTGTCTACTTTTAAATGACTGAGTAATGCAAAATGATGTTGCCTTAAAGGCAAGCTTAATACATACATACATACACACACACACACACACACACACACACATATGCATATATACACAGAGACATACACACACATATATATACACACATACGCGCACACATATATGTACACACATATACATATGTGTAGATACACACATATGTATACACACACACACATACATACATACAGTACACACACACCATTTTTGGAAGAAGAAGAAAAAGCAATCAGCTGGCCCTAAAGGCGGGGTGATTTCTCCCCTCCTTTCCCCCAGTGCATGCGATCACCCGGCTGATCACGGAGACGCTGCACACTGTATTTTAGCAACCCCCGAGTGCGACATTTCCGATTTTAAACCACCCCGGTGTAACCCTGGACCCCGGCGCTGCTC